CACTGAATTGGAAACCAGGCCTCTTCCATGTCAGAGCAGGTCTCTTCCTCTGAAAATGTGTGATCTTAGTTCTGTCATCCATGCCACTAGTGAAATACTGCCTAATGCCAGAATTGGGGCAGGTCCCTTCAGAATTTGGTCTGATTGATCCCTCTGGTTTGGCATGTCAAGCAGTTTTCTAACCAGTGTCACATCCACCCAGCAGCAATTACATCTAGGTCGTATTTCCCTGGATTACTTATAGAGATGACATGATACCCAGTGACAAAGCTCTAGTGAAGCCCAGTGTTGCTTTTTCATCCATAGGCCTCTTGCAAAAAAGGCATTAGCAGTTTGTTTTATTCTTTCCCAATGACTTTACTTACCTGTTTATCCAGTGTATTTATCAATTATATGGTATCTAAAAAGATACTGTCCTGACAGCACAAATGAGGCACCTCTGAGCTTGCTCAAAGAGTGCTGGACATCAGCTTGCTTTGTGCAGCTTTGGAAATTGGGAGAAGACAACTGGTGAAGACAGGTAGTAAGCTTCCCAGAAGAGGAAGCATCTCCTTGCTGTCAGTGTCACACCCCACAGAGCTCATCTCTGGGGATGTGTATTGACTTTGCTGTTTCTTGCTGAATATCCACTACTCCCTCTTTCACTTCTGTGTCCAAACTCAAGAAGTTATTCCCTCAATAGGGAAAATAGGGCATGTTGTGAAACACCTTACCCATTTTAACAGAACCACTTTTGACTTGGTGGTGTGTTCATAACTGCACTTACATACTGGCATTCAAAGCACACCTGCACAATAGATTTGATGTCAGCTCATCTTCCTGATAAAACAGAATCAGGGAGACACAGAATGGCTTGTGTTGGAAGGGACCTTGGAGATCACCTAGTTCCAGCCTCCCTGCCATGGGTACAGGTGCCATTCACTACTCAGGCTGCTCAGCACTCAGCTGACTTATGTTTTATGACAGTGGTCTGCAAAGTCTGTTCAAGAAAAAAACAAGTAAAGGTCACAATTGGAACTGTTTCAAAACAGTTTGATTGAAATATGTCACTGTCCCTTGAGTGATTTGGAGGGGTCCTGTTCATTCTCATCATATGTTCAGCTGACTGCAGCCGGAGGGTGAGAACATGGGTGAGGTGGTTTCTTGTGGCTGCTCAGGCTGTGGGGGAATGAAAAGCTTAGCTCTCATGTAAGGTAAAGTGGGGACATGAATCAGATCTTTTGGGATCTCTGCCATTATCTTAACACTCCTATGTGTGAAGAGCAGGTTATTTTTGTGTTGTCCATGTAAAAGTTCTGAAAAGTTTTTCCTGTGCTCATTCAGGAGTGTGGGTTTGTTTCTTTGTAACCTACAAAATTGCAGAAAGCCATTGCTTTCCTCTTTCCTTTTCTATAGCTGCATGTCACACTGAAGCCTACAAAGCAGGAAGTGTAAAATAATTTTCAAAGGGAGGTTCTTCAATTTTGCTTGAATGTATTGTGCTGCTTTTTGTTGCTTTACTTTCCTTCCTGGTCCCTGTAAGTGGTAAGAATTTTGGTGGTGAGGATCTTGTCATTTAAGTTTAGAGGTCAGAAAAGAAACAATGCATGTCAGTCTAAGAGACAATAATCATAAGTGTTGGGGTCCTTGTGAGGAACAGACTACAGCACACCCATATGATGCTCTGATAGCCAACTTTATTTAATGCACCTAACAGTATTTATAATATAAAGTGTCCCATCCATGCAGCTCATGCTGATCACACAACTTTGGATTGGTTACTCAACTTGTCAATGCCTACAATTCTTACTTATGATAGGTTACAATTTAAGCTGCATCCCACTCTCACATCCTGGGAAACTGATAACAAGAGCTACACAGTGTCTATGAGAACCTAAACAACAGCACTATTCTCAGCTTGTTAGCAAGAGGACTTATCTATAAGGCAGTAAAACTGAAACCAAGCCTAGAAACCCTGGCAGCAGGAGAGAACAGGACCATTATAAGGTGTTGGATTGAAGACACAGGAATGCATGAAGATAGAAACAAGGTCAGCAAGACCTATTTTGTGTGTCTTGTTTATAATTGCTTAAGCATTCCTTAAACCATTGCTCAGGTTACAGCTCCTCTGCTAGCCAGGCCCCAACACATAACTTTATACAAAAGTCAAATCCTTAGAGGTCACTGAGAACAAAGGGAGGCAAAAGGCAAGTTCTGTGGGTTGGGATCTCACTAGCAAGTTACATACCAGTGAGAGAAGGATCAGAATCTTCACCAAGTAGTTACTCCCCATGTTTTTATTACTATGTGGCCATTTGTTCTGACCTTAAAAGTTGCATTTCTCTGATGGCAAATTGGCTGAAATTTGGAAGGGGCTGAAAGTTAAAGAAACACCAATGTCATATGGGAAGTCAAGTTGCAAATGGGACAATGCAAATAACCCAGTGCTGGGGACTCCCAGCTACTGGGGATGAGGAGCCTTCTGAATTGTGAGTTCAGGGAAATGAAAGAAAAAATCTATACTTTTGTCTGGGTTTTTTTATAGAAGAAAGAAATTATCAAAAAGATAACTTCTCCTCTCACCTGGACTTAATTCTGTTACCTGCTACTGCAATAAAAACATTTTGTCTTAGCAGTAATAAAAAAGTCATTTTCTCCTGGCCAGAAGAAACCTGCACTCATGTAATAGCAGTCATTCAGTTGAGGTCTTTGTTTCACAGTTACCATTAGGTTGACTATTTTGGTACAAAATCCAATCTGTGTTAAAAGGCTCTGTATACAGTAGTTTTATTTTGTTGCTGTGCTGTTTTGAAGCAGTGTGAGGGAAAGGAAAGACAAGGCCAGAATTGTAGCTTCCTTTGCCCCTTTGTTCTGGTGGATAATGTGTCTCATTGCACCTGAAACTCATGGCTGTTGGCACATAGCAGGATGCTGCATGTCACAGCTCCCTCATTAAAATGTCATCTTCCTTGTGGTTTCAAGATCCAGGCCTGTGGTCCTGACTCAGACAGCATTGAAGCTGGGGGCTGGGAAAGACCATAGACATCCACCAATCAGAAAATGTGCATTAGATCATAAAAAGTCCTGTTTAGCCCAACTCTTTGTTTTTATTTCATACCTTTCCAATTTGTTGTGTTTTAACCCCAGCTGGCAACTCAGCCCCACACAGCTGCTTGATCACATCCCCACCTTGGTATGGGGGTGACAGTCAGGAGAGTAACACAGAATACTTGAGATAAAGTCAGTTTGACAGGTGAAGCAATAGCTGTGCACATAAACAAAGCCAAGCAAGGAATTCATTCCTCACTTCCCATGGACAGGAGCTATTCAACCACCCCCAGGAGAGCAGGATCCCTTCGTGCATAACAGTGACTTGGGAAGACAAACACCATCGCTCCGAACGTCTTTCCCTTCCTTCTTCCTCTAGCTTTCTGTGCTGAGCATGGCACAGTGTGGTGTGAGCATCCCTTGGGACAGTTGGGGTCAGCTGTCCTGGCTGTGTCCCCTCCCAGCCTGTTGTGCATCCCCAGCCTCCTTGCTGGTGGGGTGGGGTAAGAGGTGGAAGAGCCCTTGGCTCTGTGTGAGCTCTGTTAAGCAATAACTAAAACATGGTTGTTTTACCAACACTGATTCCAGCACAAATCCAAAACACAGCCTATACTAACTGCTGTGGAGAAAATTAATTACCCAAGCCAAAAACCAGCACACCCAGCAAGCTTATCCTTCAGCCATGAGCAAAGTGTGTCTTGCTCTTCTGTGGTCTACCTTAGTTTTGTGGGGGTTTTTAACAAAACAGGAGAAGTTCTTGAAATGGTTCCACTTTCTAGTCCTGTGACTGTAGGGTAATTCTGGCCACTGTGAGATGGTTCCTTCCACCCTTAGGCATTCTGTGATTCTGTGTGATTCTGTGACTGCAATTACAACATAGTTATATGATGGGAAACCTGTAATTTCCAGTAATTTGTATAAATAAGAACATTAACCTTGTGACAGAGTGATTCTAGCATTAACAGTCTCTGAAAAGACACGGCTTGAAAAACATATGCATTACATCTAAAACTGATTATCCATCACGCTAATTACAGGTGATTCAGCCACTGCCTTAACTTTCCATTTTATTGATGATAGATAATATTTTATCAACATGATAAGTCACAAGCTATTTATAGCTTAATTTCAGAGTAATTACAGTGGGTTAAGAGTGGCTGTTTGTAGTTGTGAGTTCCTGGTGGCTGAAGGGGAACACATCCCAGGGAAGGTGCTAGACAAGAACCACTTAAGGCAGTAGAGCCATCAGGACCAAGAGGCCAAAAGGTCTCCTCACCTCCTGGGGTGGAAGGTACTGAGAAGGGCAGATGGAGCTGACCCTTGTCTGGAGCAGCCTGATAGTCTTGCCCATGAAGAACAACATTAAGTAAAGTATTTCTCTCACCATGCAGCATTTTCAGGGGGTTTTGGTAATATTACTCACATACTGTTTTCTGACATGTTCAGCTGTCTGTATTTATCTTCTGCAAAAACAGAAGATGCATATTTGAACAACTAAGTTTTTTTTGGTTCTTAGAATGATAATGTAGAATCTTCTCAGGAGAGGGAACAAGCATACCTGAAGGTTTAGGATAATTAACCCTTTTAATTGAGTATTTTCTACCTGAATCAACTTTGTAACTTGCACAAACATAAAACTTAGAAACACTTAGGCTCCTTAGCCCTAAGAAATAGGAAAATTTATCAGTCTCTTTCCATAAAGGCTCTTTGGAAGAATTTGTTCCTCTCTCTCTCTCACCCTGTTAATGATTTCAGAAACACCACTGTCCCCATTACACTGAGACAACTTGTTTGGCCCAGTCCAGCGGTAGCACGCAGATTTTGAGACACAGACATGCTCAAACTCAAACAGTTGGCTCAGGCCACAGTGTGTTCAAACTCTATATTTAATAATATCCTGTGGTTTTGCTTAGGCAAAAAAAAAAAATACTCTGACATAGAGATTTTATGAATCAAATCATTCTATGTTTTAGGCCAAGATGACTCAACTGCCAGAGGCTGAGAGGGAAAAGATTGCTGAGCAAGTGGCTGACTTCAAAAAAGTCAAGAGTAAGCTTGATGCAGAGATTGAAATATGGGACGATACGAGCAATGACATCATTGTCCTGGCCAAGAGGATGTGTGTCATTATGATGGAGATGACTGACTTCACAAGGTAATTATGCAAAAAAAGGTCTTCAATATTTATAGATGTTGGAGGTCATTGTCATGTTGTTACAGCAGCAAATACTGAGCTTTTAATGCCAGGTGACAGCATCTACAGAATTGAGTTGCTAAGCTAATGTAGCACACTAGCTAGAAGTACTGAAGTGTTGCAAAGGAGATTGGAAGGTTTGAACTATGCTTGTCCTTATTTTTTTTTCTTTGTCCTCTTTTATTAATGTAGTTGGTAGAATTTTTGCATGTCTTTTAGCACTCTATTTCTGCTCTCAGTGAAAGGGAAAAAGTGACAAAATAATCTTGATTTTAAGCTGTACTTTTGTCTCATCTGTTGTTCTTTCTACTTGTATCAGACCATGCTGTCAAGCATAAAACATACTGTACATAGCCTCTGTGTGACAGTGCAAATTGAGTCTCATGCATATTTTATACCACATTACTTGCTGCTGGTGTCATCAAACTCTATAGTGCTGCTCTATGTAGTTTTGAAGAATGGAGTGTCCTGTAGCAGATAGTTTTCAAAGCTGCTATTTCTTTCTGCTGCCAGTTTGTGTTCCGTGCTGCTCATATAAGGAAGCAATCTTAAGTTCAGGAGCTTTTTCTGCCATGCACTGAATGAAATGCTCAGTAGATTTCATCAAATTGGTTATAGCAAAGGGAGGTGTTGGTGGTGTCTCCTCACCATGGCACCCTCCAGGCTGGTTAGCAGTGAAATAGTTCATAGAATCATAGAATTAACTGGGTTGGAAAAGACCTCCAAGATTATCAAGTCCAACCCTATCATGGTTACCAGACCATGGTAACCACTAAGTAACCACTAAGTGCCACATCCAGTCTCAGCTTGAAAACCTCCAGGGATGGTGAATCCACCACCTCCCTGGGCAGCACATTCCAATGCCTGAGCACTCTCTCTGGAAAAAATCTTTTCCTAATATCCAACCTAACCCTCCCCTGGCAGAGCTTGAGTCTGTGCCCTCTTGTCCTGCTGCTGGTTGCCTGGGAGCAGAGACCAACCCCCACCTGACTCCAACCTCCTGTCAGGGAGTTGCAGAGGGTGAGAAGGTCTCCCCTGAGCCTCCTCTTCTCCACCTTGCTGACAGGTGAAGCCTTAAAACACAACCATTCTTGCAAGACACTGAATGTCTCATAAAATAAGTCCTTTCATGCAAGGTACAAAGAAAATTCTCAGCCTCTTGAACAGCTTCTTCAGGTGATGAGCAACGTTATGTAGAGCTGAACCAGCTAACAAAGCTGTGGTCTGGTGTAGCTCCTGCTGGGCCAGACAGCTGTTGATCACATCAGCACTTTCCAAATTAATCTCCACATGGGAGACATTCAGTGACCTGCATGTTGAACTCTGCAATCCTGTTCATTTTAAGAGTGCATGATTTGTACTAAGACCTTTGAAAAAGAATGTACTGTGCCACAAATTCAGTCTTTACAGTTCAAGTCACCTCCCTCACCAAAATTCTTAAATTACTAGCTTTAGATCCATCCAAATTAACAAGGCAAGTTCATAGTCCTAGTTTTGTATCTATGGCTCTCAGCTGAACACAGCATGATCTGCAGTGTCAAGTCAAGGAGCAGCTCTTACCCAGTGTTGTCTATACCAAGACTTTCTGATGTCCAGAGAGTCCATGGAGAGCTCTGAAATTACTCTGGTAAAATAATGTACTTGAAGGAAAAAGTAAAATGTTTTGGGAAGAAAGAGCAGAAATCCTTGTCTGTACTTCAGCATGTGGTAGGGAACTGCATCACTGGAAGATGGATTCTGATTACTCTCTCTTCCAAATTTGAGAGAATGTGCTCATCTTTTTACTTCATGGGTGTTTATGTTATAATTTGAGGTATGTAAGTATATACAATTATACTCCTGCATTACATGTTTGGTGTAAATTCTTGGGGGTATGCCTGTCCTACCAAGCCTTTTGTTAGGTTTCTAGGTCTGTCGGTGACAGAAATCAAGGTCACCCTGTAATAGTGTATATACCGTAATGATCTTACAAAGTCCTTTTGTATCTTACACAGCTTTGCCTTCTCACACCTTTACAAAGCTGGTTCTGAGTATGTCCTTCACTAAGACATTTTCAAGTTTACTTTGTCCTTTAATGATGCAGATCAAGTCTGTAAAATGAAGATTTGCATCTGTCTGAGCAGTAGGTGAACTCATGTGTCTCTTCCTCGTATTGCTGCTTATAAAGGTGGCAGTTAGGTGCTGAGAAGCACAGCTGCCTTTCTGCCTTCCTGCTCTGGAAATCTGGGAATGGCATCAGAGAATCGTTTAGGTTGGGAAAGACCCTTAAGATCATCAGGTCCAACCATTAACCTAGCACCACCGTGTTCATCACCAAACTATGTCTCCAGGTACCACAACCACTTTTTTTTTGAACACTTCTAGTGGTGGTGATTTCACCACTTTCCTGGGCAGCCTGTTCAATGCTGGACCTCCCTTTTAGTGAAGAAATTTTTCCTGGTATAGAATATAAACCTCCCCTGGTGCAAGTTGAGACTGTTTCCTCTTATCCTGTCACTTGTAACCTTGGAGGAGAGCCCAACTCCTCCTGGCTACAACCTCCTTTCAGCAGTTGTAGAAAGAAGGTTCCTCCTGAGCCTCCTTTCCTTCAGGCTGAGCCCCCCCAGCTCCCTCAGCCTCTCCTCACAGGAATTATGCTCTAGTCCTTTCACCAGGTCTGTTGCCCTTCACTGGACAGACAAAAGATGAGTATTGTGGAAGCTACAGCAAGTACCAGTGCACTCTATGGTTTGAGCTTTCCGGTCTGACGGAAGAGGTAAAAAGATTCTGATGTTTTGTGTTTGTTACACCAGAAGCTGCTCAGACATAGTGAGCAGCAAGTACCAGTTTGAGCTTTCCAGTCTGATGGAAGAGGTAAAGAGATTCTGATGTTTTGTGTTTGCTACACCAGAAGCTGCTCAGACATAGTGAATTTCTGTATTTGAGTCACTGTTACATAAGCTGGTTTCTGGTTTTTTTTAATGTATTACCTTGCATTCATTGTTATTTAATGAGTGCTTTGCAAAGTTTTAATTTTTCAGGGCCATCTTGGCATTTTAGTATGTTTGTCTTTGTGTATTGTCCCAAATGTTTATGCAACAGTAATATAGTCAACTAAAACCAGGTTAATGTTGGTGTCAAAGGAGCTCATTACTCAGACAGAACGTGACTGACAATGATGATGGCATAAAGTTACAGGTATGTATGTCTCAGATCATTAAAAAAAGTGCTTCAGGATGACTTCAGTGGAGTCCAGTGATAATCAGTGACTACTCAGTGGAAGTCAGGACTGCTGTAAAGAGTGACCATCTGAAGTAGCTCATTATGGCTTAGCTTCCTCATTTGATTACAGAGGCAGATGCCCCTGGATTTTTGAGCCTTGGCAGAAGGGACCTGCAGAACCTCACTAGAGACACTGTCCCACTGGGCAGTCATGGGCATGTCATCTGTGAACAGACACTAGCACAGACTACTGGAATTACATGCAATACATACTTCCCCAGCTTTTTTTAGACTTTGTGTGTGGTACATCACATATGCTTACTGAAACTGATGATGAACCTTGCTGCAGTTCCTGTAAGTCATTGTCATGGAGAACATCTACTTGACAGATGGAAAAGTAATTGAGTAAGAGCAGAAATGTGTTGTTGGAAGTTTGTAGCAGCTAGCAACAGCTGCTCATTGGTGGTATGAATAATCAGGCCATATTGATTACTGGAATCTGTTAAAAATTCTGTAAAAGTCATCCTATTTACAGTAGCAATCTTTGCTCCTGGTGGGCATAAGTGGATGCAGAGGGCAAGAGGCATTTGGTCTGCTGAAGTGCAGCCCTCTGTTCCCTTTGGACTCCACCACATGTGTTTGTTGGGGATAACACAAAGTTCCTGCCATTTTTATTCTGTTTGCTGAAGGTTGTTGCTGCTAGAAATAAGAGAGTTTGGTAGAGGTTTCTTTCCTGAATTTTACTTTGCTGAAAATGATCTGCATAGTAGTTGTCATTTCTTTTCTGCATAGTAGTTGTCATTTCTTTAGGGGGTACAGTGAATGAGGCAAAGAGAATGATGACTGTGAAATTGCTCCTATGCTGCCATGGCTTTAACAGCAAAGCCATTCAGTGATGCTGAGAAACGAAGGAGGTAGCAGTGAGTCTGCTGGTGTTTTGTGTCTCTTCAGCCTGTGGGTGCAGCCCCATTCCTGTCCTCACGAAACACCATCTCAGCTTGGCTCTGCTGGCTTCCTCTGTGGCTGGCCAGAAACCTGTGCTTCATCCATGGACCTTCTACAGGAATGAGCCAAGCCTGGGAGATGGTTCCCATGTGCCTGTCATTTCCCATCCTGCTCTGAGCATGCACCAAGTGCTTTGTCACATCTCCATTCGGAGGGACTGGGTGTTCACAGAGCACATTACTGGGTCAGAATCTATGCAGAGTGCTTTCCTGCATCCCCTCTGAACCTGCCTGCTGTGCAGAACTGTACAGAACAGGCTGTGGTTTCCTGGTACCTCAGGGATTCACTCGAGATAGCAGGATATTTGTTTTCTTTAGCTAGAAGGGGTTTAAACTTGCTTTTCATCTAAGAATTATCGGCAGTGGTGTGAGATACTTCAGCAGCATCCTCTGGATACTTCTCTGTGCAGAAGAAGAGTTTGCTTGGCTGTTGTTTAGGGATTCTAGCTGCTGTTCCAAAAGCTGCATATGTATTTGTCTGTTAAATATTCATTGGATAGTTTGGAGACAGGAACATGAATATTGGGTCCCTCTTTTTCACAAAGCCATCATGTCTGTAGCCCTCACATGGTGTACCTTGTAGCCTAGCAATTAGGACATTCCTTAATGAGAGATGGTGATAGATATGGATTTACATTTCTATGCAGTGAACTCAGACTTGGCCTAAACTCTGTGATTGTTGGGGCCTGACCCTGAGAAACAGGATTACACTTCTTGGTTCAGCCTTTGAAAGGCTTCTGTTTCCCAGGCAGGATC